GCCCCCTGCAGGTCACCCGCGACGCTGCCGTACTGCGCCACGCGGTACGGGACGCTGAGCGGGTTGCGCCTCACCTGGGACAGGGTCGGTGTGAGCGTCCCCCGGTCCCGGCACAGCCCGGCACCAAGCAGGGTCCCTGAGAAGGGCACGGCTGGTGGAGCAGGTCCCCAAGGAGGATCCCTGAAGAGGGTCCTTGAATGGGGTCCCGAGGCAGGACGGAGCTGGCGGAGCAGGTCCCCAGGGATGTCTCGGAGTAGGATCCCCAAACAAAGTCCCCAGGCAGAGCATGGCTGTGGAGCAGGCGCCTGTAGGGTCCCCAGGCAGTGTCCCCAAGCAGTGCATGGCTGTGGAGCATGTCCCTATCAGGTCCCCAAGCAGTGTCCCCAAGCAGTGTCCCCAGGCACTGCATGGCCATGGAGCAACTCCTGAGCATCCCACAGCCGGCAGACCAGTGCCCTGAGCAGTTCCCCTACTCTGGGTACCCGTGGGGCAGCGTAGGGGAGAGGTCCTCGTGCCCTCCCCGTCGGGGGACAGCAGGGCCAGGGCTGCTCGGGGAAGGGACCAGGAGAGGGCTAATTCCCGGGGCAGGAGCGTGCCCACACTCCCATCCCTACCGTGGTGCGGATGCTCTTGGCACGGTGGGCGTAGGCGAGGGTGCTGCGGGACTCCTCGAAGGCCGTGCTGGCCGGGCTGATGTGGGCAATCATCACCGTGTGGCTGTTGCCCCCCAGCGAGTCCTGGCCATGGAGAACACAGCTGAGAGGGACCGGGGTGGGGGACAACCTGTGCCCCCTCCCCAGCTTGGACCCTGCCGGGGGAACCGGCACCCCCGGCCGCACCTTGAGCAGGCGGGTCAGCTTGCTGTCGCGATAGTTGATGTACTTGGTGCTCGCCTGGTGGCTCAGAGCCTTGATGCAGTTGCCCAGGGCCAGCAGCGAGCGGTTGATGTGGGCTCCCTCCTTCATCCTCCGCCCACGGTTCTGCGTCTGGGCAGGGAGGGGAAGGCAGAGGGAAAAACCTGGCAAAAGAGGGGCTGGGGAAGGGGGGCTCCCCGGCCCTGCAGCCCTCCGAGGCGGGTGCCGTACCTGCGC